AATAACCTCATTTTAAGGGTACCAATTTTTGTTCTAGATTGTTTCTTTGTTGCTATGATTAAATATTTTTATTAAAAGCAACTGAGGTGATAAATAGGCTTACTTAGCTGACACTGCCAGGGCACATCCAATCATTGAGGAAACTCACGAAATATATTTAGGTTAGTAACTAAAGGTAAAATCATTGCAAAACATTGCTTGGTGGTGTGTTCTCTTGCCTGCTTACGGTCTCATGCTCAGCTAGCTCTCTTATCAAGTCTGGGCCACTTGCTTAGGGGTATTTCCACGTTCAGTAGTTTGCTGTGGGATGTTCTGTATGTCAAATGTGTTGTTCTGATTGGTCAATAAACAAAACACTGATTGGCCAGTAGCCAGCAGGAAGTATAGGCGGGACTAACAGAGAGGAGAATTGAGAGAATTCAAATCTTAACACTTCCTCCATTCAGTAAAATACTGTTTATTGCCAGCCCTAAGTCTAAATTCTAGAAATTTGATGGCTTGGAACAGCAACTCTTCTTTTTTGAGAGCAGTATGCCTTCCTCCTTCCTTTCCTATGGACCAACTGTTTTCATACTCACATAATGAATAAGACTGTGAAGTCTGACTCTAGATAGTGGAGAAAAGACACAGACACGACTTTCCTTAGGATAAAATCAAGTGCAGTTCCTGTCTAGGTAAGATCCCCTTTCACCAGCACACCCTCCTGAACAAGAGAAGTTTGCCTTGTCCAGACTCGTATTTGTAACAATTCACAGGTTACTCTAAGAACACATAGCTCACCCAAGGAACCACCTCAGATGGTCTCACAGGATAAATGCTTCCCAACAGCTTCTGAAGTGGCCCTGTGCCTCTGGAACTCTGCAGTTCAACAAAAGAAACCCAGGGATGGAAATGTCTGGACATCACAGTGACAGTGGTACCAGGAAGTTACCAGGGAACACATGACCCATCTGTATGCAGAGCAAAGATGAGAAATGCTTTGGGAGAGAAAATAGTATCCCTTTGCTGGTCACATCATCCTGAGAGTTGAAACATGTGTTTGACATGAAATTTGAGTGCATGAAATCTCAATAAATGGACACTAAGAACAATCTATGTAGAAAGAGCTCTAAAGAAAGAGACAGAAAGAGATAAAGAAACTGAAGAAAGAAAATATTTCACCTAAGGAGAGGAGGGGCCAAGTACTCTGACTACAGACTTCGTTAATATCACCTACCCTACCCTGACAAAGGAGATTGAACAATGGGAGGCCTCAAACTTGGGTTTAAGTCCCTATATTTCCTCTGCATACATGGCATTGTTCACTGTATCCTTCCCCAAGAAGTCACCGAGACAGTCTGAGAAACCTTGGATGAGGTCTAGTGGAAGTAAAGAAGTTAGTCTCTTTGGTGGAGTTACGTCTGACTATCTTAGATGATGCCATGAGATAATGCTTTACTGAGTAAAAGTGCCACAAAAAAACTACCAAAGTTTTATTAGAATGAACTCTTTCAACAAGTTTTCTTTCCAGAAGTTTTAAATTATAGTCCATATGGAGGGTGACAAAACCATCTGATCTCAGCTGACAGCATGCTTACCTGGGATAATTGGGGCAAGAAACGTCTTGTGTTTGGGAACTAAGTTAAAACTCCTGGATGACAATACTTGGCTTCCACAGTTAAAATTACTTTGTAAGACATATGGACTCAACTGTCTCTGACCAAGACCATGGACTTCTTTCCCTATATTCCTTTGCTATTTAGAGCCTACTTGCCTAGTCCATAGGCAACATCTCCTCCTAAAAACATCCTAAACTAACTAAAGTGTGTTTTCAAAGAAAATGGTGTGACAGTGCACATTTAACCTGAGAGATGGGTGTATCCTGCAGGGACTTGTGCCTGATGGTGAATGGGCTCACCTTCCCATGGGGCTGAGATAATCTTGAACAGAAAGGAACCATGTGGTTTGCCCCCATATTTGCTGGTGAACTATTCAAAATGGAATCAGCCATGTCAGTCACAACTTGGCCATTTTCTTCACTAATGGTTTCATAAAATGTAAATGACATGTGACTTCTGGATTACTATGGCATAAAACAAAATGGAGGCATCCATAAACACACAAAGAATATAGAAGAGAAAAAGGTAAAACCCACAGTCAAAAGGTAGGTGGGATAATTTAAGTTAAAAAAAGCTAGCTAGAAATAAGTCAAGTGAAGGCTGGGTATTCATAAGTAAGAATACTTCTCCATCATTATTATTTGGGAGCTGAGTGGTGGGCCACATAAGAGTTAAAAAATAAAAAAGCTATACACTTCTTTGCTCCATATTTGTTGTCCACATTTGCCCCATCATGTCCCGGAACATCATGCAGTGAACAATGCTTTTGTTTTCATTTTCTAGTCCCCTCATGTCAAGAGAACAGCATCTAAGACAAAGATCAAAATTCAACCTCTGGCCTCCACACTTTTGTGTACAAATGGTATGCCCCCACACATGTAGACATGCATAAACCATGTATGCACATCAAAGACCAATGAACAAAGAGAAACAAGAGGACATCAATGAGACCTTAGGTGGTCAGGAGCTTTTGTGCTTCCTTTCTTGCTAGTGAACTTCTACCCTCCAGAGGACCTTTTACTTTCTCAATAAATTAGCAAAACTACTATTACTAACCATTTGTCTCAATTCATATTTGGTCAGTTGGACAATAGCTAGCCAGCAAGTATACATGAAATGTTTACTGTTCAAGAAACATGTCCAAAATCAAATTAGTAACAACACTGTTAAATCATGTACTACTCACAAAAAAGGGAGATTGTGCCATATGGTAGTAGCACACACCATTTATCCCAGCACTTGGGAAACAGAGGCAGGTGGATCTCTGAATTCGAAGCCAGCCTGATCAACAGACTGAGTTACAGGACAGCTAGGGCTGTTACACAGAGAAACCCTATCTCAAAAAACCCAAAAAAGGGGGAGGATTGTTTCCCAAAAAAAAACCTCGAGAATTTTATAATTGTGTATTTGTCATGACTAAATTGAACCTATATCAGAATATAAAATTAACATTTCGCTTATGATAGAAAATAAAGCAACTCTGCACCATTCTAAATGGGAAATAAGACAAGGTGTTGCCAATGCAAATGTTAATTTGCAAACAGGAACAGTGGCTCATGCCTGTAACTGCAGCCACTTAGGAAGCTGAAACTAGTACATCACCTGTGGAGCAGGGGTGAATTCTAGACAGTGTACTGAAATGAAGAAGCTTGCATCTTTGTAAAGTGAATCTCCTACCCAATGTCAGAGTCAATGAAAACACATCATATAGGAAACTAAAGGGGTAAATTATGAAATAGACAGATTTCAGATTCTGAGGAAATATAAACCATGAATTTATCATGTTTGTCCATAATTAAATATCTATGGTGGAATTCGATGACTACCTATTTTATCATCTATATTTGGCTATTTGAAATGAGCTATAATTGGCAAATATCATAACCTCTCAGTTATTTGTTCACTTATCAACTGAAGAAAGCTTTAATTTTGTTGATGACAAGTTCCTCTAGTCAGGCATGGTGGTCCATGTCTATAAAATCCTGCCAATCCAGAGGCTGAGATGGGAGAATCCCAGAAACTTTCACACCAGTCTGAACTCAGATTGCAAACCAGGTACCCTCAGCCTCATCCTAACTGGCAACCTCATCTTGATCACCATATGAATAAGGAAAAAAGGACACCCCACGAAGTTGTCTTCTAGTCTCCACATATGTGTCACAGCCCAAAAAACCATAATATAACACACATGCACAGACACACACACAACAGAATTTCTTTTGAAATAAATCTCATTACCATTACATTATCTGGCATCTCTGGATAATTGCCTTAGAATGCAGTACTTCAAGATGAAATATCAGATGGATAACTAATGGGGACATGCAGACACGTGAAACTTCAAATAATATATTCATATCCATAGCACATCAAACAATGTTGTGAAATACACAGTTGACTGCTGTTTTCCTACATTATTACATCTCTACCAGATATATGAAAATGCTGTTTGGATGCACATGAGGTATTTAATGTTTCTTATATTCTCTTCTATTAAGCATTTTAACATTAATATATGTTTAAACGTGCTACTAAAACAACATACATGGGGGTACATCATCTACCCTTGGACTTGTACTCAGGAGGGTGACAACTAAGGATAATGAGTTCAAATATATCCCTAATTACTGACGTTGAAGCCAGACTGGATAATAAACAACATCTCAAGGGAAATTGTTAAAATACAAAAAACAAAACCAGGAAAAACAACGCATCACACTTTCACAGACACTTACTTCAACAATCACATACTGCCTGATATTTAAATAAACAGTGGACCACTTAGATGATGGGCATCCCATTCTATACATTGCAGCAGAAAAATACCTATTACTAAGTGAAAGTGCAACAGAAGATGAACAGAAATCAAAGAAAAAAATAAGAACCACAAAATAAAACTTCATTAAATGGATTGGCCACATATATACCACATTTTAGTATCTATCTCAAATGTGGCAAAATAGAAACCCATGATGCAATGATCTCCCCCACCTGTCTTTAGTCAACATGGTAAATAAATTACTTCCTTCAAGGGTATGATGAAAAAGACATAAAACAAGATTTTTTTGTGAGTCTGAAGATAATTGTGATGTCTAAAGTCTTAACCAAATCATTTACCAGAATAGGATATTTCTGTTGTATGAATTATTTCCTATTTCCTGACATCAAGATTATATATGACAGCTTTGATATATTTACAGGGTGATAGACATAGCCAAACAGTTAAGAGAAGTTTCCAGGATGTAAAGCCAGGTTTTCAACAACTCCCTGTAATTCCTGCTAAAAGAAGATCCAATGGCCTAAACTTGGAAACCAGAATGCACATACCCACAAAAAGAAACAATGATATCATATAATTAAAATTAAAACAAATCTTTAAACAATCAGATTTACACTCAAGAATGTTTTTCTCTTGTAAGCATTTATTCCTGTAACCCAGGTGTGGAAGCATCAAAAGGCTTACTTACAGAGTTTTTCTTCATCGTGAACTGGTTAATAAAACAGAAAGCAGGCATGTAAACTTGAAGTCAGAGAAATCAATCTTTCTCAGTTGGTAGTATCATTTGGGAAGATATGGGTAATGCTTGCCCTGCTGGAAGAAGGATGCCCCTGGGGTTGAGCATGAGTTCACATCCACATACCATTTCCAGTTCCCATTTTCACCTTCATACCGCAGGTAGAAGATGTGAGTTCTTAGCTTCCTGCTTTAGCTGCCATGTGTGACACTTGTTGCCATGCCACTTTGATGGTGATCCTATATCCCTCTAGAACCAAGGGCTCACTCATGAGTTGACTTAGACATAAAGTTTTATCACAGCAACAGAAAAGGCATTAATACACATCCATTAAATTTTACAACTGGATTGTTATTTTATGTAATTTAAGAGAACTGTGGAATTTAAAAGGGTTACCTCATGATTTAAATTCATAGTTATTTTCATCATATGAGTTTGCGGGTGCAAATAAAATAAAGAGAGACATCATAATGCTAGAACAGATTGGTGACACTTGTCAGATTTCTTCTCCAGAATAAACTTGTGTAACTGAATTTAAGTCAGTTGGATAAAGATCTTATCAAACTCTTTATGGTCAGATTTCCTTGAGTATTAGTTTTTTCAGGTCCTCAAGGACTACTGTAAAATGAAAAGACTTTAAAATACCAATTACACACTGAAATTTTACTCTTGTAATAAAGACTAACCTGAAGTGCAAAACTTTGCCATACTCACTACCTTTCTAGGTATCTCTGTAGTATGATTATTTTTTTCTGATGATTTCAAAGACTGCTGATTCATGTAAAGGCTTTACCACACTGATTACATTCATAGGGTTTCTCTCCAGAATGTGTTCTCCATGCATTTGATGATGACTGTGTCATGAAAAGGATTTATCACATTGATTACATTTGTATGGTTACTTTCCCGATTGTGTTCTTTTATGTATTTAGAGAGTACTGTCACATGCAAAGGCTTAAACCACATTGATTACACTTGTAGGGTTTCTGCCCAGTATGTGTCATGAAAAGTCTTTAAAACAATGATTGCATTTATAGGGTTATGCTCCAGCATGTGTTCTTTCATGTACTCTGAGATTACTGGCACATGCAAAGACTTCACCACACTGATTACATTCATAGGGTTTCTCTCCAGTATGTATTCTTTTATGTCTTTGGAGACTACTGGCACTTGCAAAGGCTTTACCACACTGATTACATTCATAGGGTTTCTCTCCAGTATGTATTCTTTTATGTCTTTGGAGACTACTGGCACTTGCAAAGGCTTTACCACATTGATTGCATTCATATGGTTTCTCTCCAGAATGTATTCTTTCGTGCCTTTGAAGATTAATATGTTGTGAAAAGGCTTTATTACATTGATTACATTTGTAGGGTTTCTCTCCAGTATGTGCTCTTTTATGTATTTGGAGACTAGTGGTCCATGCAAAGGCTTTATCACATTGATTACATTTGTAGGGTTTCTCTCCAGTATGTGTTCTTTTATGTATTTGGAGAGCATTGTGTTCTGAAAAGTCTTTATCACATTGATTACATTTGTAGGGTTTCTCTCCAGTATGTGTTCTTTCGTGTATTTGTAGATAACTATGTCGTGAAAAGTCTTTATCGCATTGGTTACATTTGTAGAGTTTCTCTCCAGAATGTCTTCTTTTATGTATTTGGAAAGCATTGTGTTGTGAAAAGCCTTTATCACATTGATTACATTTGTAGGGTTTCTCTCCAGAATGTATACTTTCATGTCTTCGGAGATCAGTGGTACATACAAAGGCTTTACCACATTGATTACATTTATAGGGTTTCTCTCCAGAATGTATTCTTTTATGAATCTGAAGATTACTGTGTCCAGAAAAGGCTTTATCACATTGATTACATTTGTAGGGTTTCTCTCCAGTATGTGTTCTTTTATGTATTTGGAGATCACTGTGTCGTGAAAAGTCTTTATCACATTGATTACATTTGTAGGGTTTCTCTCCAGTATGTGTTCTTTCATGTAGCTGGAGACTAGTGGCATATGCAAAGTCTTTATCACAATGATTACATTTGTAGGGTTTCTCTCCAGTATGTGTTCTTTCATGTATTTG